GCCAATCAGATATTTTAAAACGGACAGGACACTCGTGACATCGGGGTAATTTTATTATATTTTGATTTTGATTTTGATGATTGATTGATTGATTGAAATAACTTAATTAATAATTGACTAAGGCTGTATTAAAGTATTTACTCAGCTAGCTAAGTGCGATAAATTTTAATCGAATTTATGTCTGTATGTGAATTATAACGTCTGCATTCTAACCAAATCAAATCTAACAAAATAAAATATTTGATAGTATATTCGAATATTCATTCAATAAACTTATCTGGATATTCACTCATTCAATATTTTGATCAATATTCGAATATTAAAAAAGTTGAGCAAATGAATATACGAATTTTTTAATTTTAAAGTTGAACAATTGAATATACGAATTTTTAATTTTTTTTTGTCTGGATCAAAATATGAAATATGATTCGAACTTTCAATATGCATAATAATTAATATAAATAGTAAAAATGTGTGCAAGCAATAATAATTTAAAATTTTCCAATTACCTGGCTGTAAAATGATACATATAGTGTGTTGTATCTGAAAATTATTATTTGTAACAATTAAGATTATCATCACTTATTGGCAACGAATTTCGTACAAACTCAACAATATACTTAAAGAATGTCCTATTATGCATAACTTTGATTAAGAGTTTCATGAATAAGGCACAAAAGCCAAACTTTTCGATACCACATTTCATGCAAATAATTTATTACCTTCTTTTGATCAGAATGTACATATAGTTATAAAAATGTATAAATTAGATGTACTTAAACAACTTCACCTGAAAATCGTTGACAATATTCACCTTCCTTCTATTTAAATTTTTATACTCTCATTCTTTTACCATCCTTTTAATAACATGATTCGTCTTTTCACATTTATAAGTTTCTTCATCTTTTTAATTTTTGGGACTACTTATGCTCGTAAGTTAAAAAAAAAATCGATTTTAAATCAAACATTAGAAATGATTATATAATCTATAAATAAAAATAATCAAATTTCTTAATAACATATTTTATTCTTTATAGAGGTCTATAATATACAATGTCAATCTGAAATTGTAAGAGGCCAAGTCCTAAACATAACCTGGGATCTAGTTCATCCACCCCCATACGACAATGGAGGTTATTACATTTATGTAGTACCTATTGATCAACCCAAGAATCGTATCAATATCGGTTATTTAATGTTCAGTAACAAAGGACATTATGAGTGGGCAGTAAACGTACAGCCTGGCACTTATTATTGTAGTATGAATGACTTAGAGTCCAATACTTTTCAAGTTCTCCAAAAACCAAGTGATTCGAAAAAACTCAATTCTGGTGGTCGTTTATATATATGCGTGGATATTGGCCCTGCATCTGATGATGATAGTTATTACCCCGAGGATCCTCCTACTGAAGAATATGAAGAATATCCTCCTAGTGAAGAGGATCCTCCTTCTGAAGAGGAAGATTATAATACTGAAGATTTTCCTAATGATGATAGCTTTACTGATTAGTATTCTGATAATAATAATAATTTATAAGATCGTTGAGTATAAAAATAAGGTCAAATGACCCTCAGCAAAATTTTAGAGTGCGGGCCAGAATTATGTTAATGCCGGCCAGAGTTTTTAATATAAAACTCGGCCGGCATTAACTTAATTCTGGCCCGCACTAACCCTAAATTCTAGGAGGAGGCAGTGATGTAAATTGGATCCGTGCAGTTAGGGTTGGTCATTACATAAATTACAATATACGTTACATGTAAATTACATTACAATTTACAAAATTGTACGTAACTTTTACATTAATAGTGTATTAGCACGTGAATATGATGTAACTTTATATTAAGCATGTACCAGCACTATGAAAATTTGACCAGAATTACTAGATATTCGTTGCTCATATTACAAAGATCACTTACATAAGCATTATTTAAAACTTTCTTTCTAACGCTAATTCTTTGCAAATATTGCTGTAATGCATCAATTTTTTTTGAATTATTAATAGTAAGGAATAATCATCGTTTTGTTATGAACAACAAAAATGAAACTATGTATCCTCGAAAAAAAAACTGTGCCTTATAGATTTCACTCCTTAGAGTAATTTTCGAATTCATGTTCACTGTTGTCAAATACATTAAGAAGCCTATTAGAAAAATCGTTAAAGTTTTCATTGAGCTCTTCACTTTTATCATCAGTATTAACATTTAGTTCTTGATTATCTAAGATAAATATGGATCTTCCTAATCGACGAAGAATTCGTGTATTCCAATAAACATAAACAAGCTTTTCTGCTTTTTGGTTAAGCATTCGATTACGCAGTTTGGAATGAATAAATCCATAGGCGGACCAATTACGCTCGCTTGCTGCTGAGGTAGCAGGAATTGATAAGATTTTGCGTGCAACTTGACTTAAAATTGGATATTGCATGCTTAATAAATTCCACCAATTAAGTGGTTTTGAGATTAGATTTCCCATAAATACTTTTTTGCAAAACATCCTGATTTCCCAATATATTCTGCTAACTTGTTTAATACCTGATTTTCATTACCACTACCTGCAATTCGAAGCACTTCATTATTTATAATATCCGCCCATATTTTGAAATCAAGATCTTCACCTCGATATCTAGGATCAAGGGTATATGCAACAATGACTGCCGGATTATATAAAAAATTAACCTATTGATTTCTAGCTGCTTGTAATGTATCATCACGAAGTTCTACAGGAATTTGTGAATTGTTCATAATTTTAATTTTTAAATCTTGCAATATCTTATACGCTGAAGATAGATATGGCTTATCGCCTTCTAACTGATATATAAAAATAATAAATGGCTCTAAAAAATCATGAAATTTTTTAAGATCTGCCCAAAATGTGTAATTTACAATAATTGCTTTGATATTTTCATCTAATTCAACATTATTTTCGGTTAATACAGCATATATTGCCGCTTGAGTTCGTAAAACATGATCAAGACATTCAAATGTTGACGTCCACCTAGTATCAATAGTTAAAATAAGTGCAACCTCAAAATTGTATATTTCTTTTTGTAAACGACGAAGAGCTGCCATAGGAATTTGATGATTACGGAAAAATAAAACCAACTCTTTAGCTTTTTTTAAAATTTGTGAAGCCCATCTATTTTTAAGAATATCCTTAATCCAAAGGTTAATTCCATGTGCCCAGCATCCAAGAAAAATCTTATTTGGATATTCCCTTTTTAAAATATTATACGTGGCTTTCATATTATTTGCATTGTCAGTAATTACACTAACAAATTTATCAACACTAGTTTCATGCATTACGCTTTCAATTCCTTTAGCTATATTTTCCGCGGTGTGATGTTGTTCTTTGGTATAAACCGATTTGTAAAAAATCGGATTAGGTGTAGTAATCATGTAATTAATTACTGAAGATTTGTTAACATTCGACCAGCCATCACTAACCAAACAATGATAAGGCATTTCATCAAGGGTATTTTGGACGACTACTTGTAGGTTCGAATATTCTCTATCAAGAAGTGAATTGGAGAGAGCATGACGTGATGGAATATTAAAAGAAGGGCAAGCTTTTTTAAGAAAAGCTTGAAAATCTACATTTTCTACTACATTAAATGAAATCCCTGATGTATAAAAAGCACGCGCAAGCAAAGATTCTAATTCAAACTGATCTTGCTAGGTAAAATTATCAGAATTTGATAACTTTTGTCTTTTATTAGCGTTGCGTAAAACACATGTATTAAAATGTTCTTGTAACCAGGTTGCATTCTTTGCCCATTCCCTATTGCATGCTTTGCATTTGTAACGTTTTTTACCCTTTTTATCGATTCTCATAATATATTGATCCCACATATCATCTTTTTTGTTTCGAGCCATTTTTAATCCGTTATAAAATTAAAC